TTTAGTTTTGTTTTGTTTTGTTTTTTCTTTCCCTGGGAATGAAGACTCCAGACCTTCTTGGAACAAAAAAGGCTTAAAAATAGAAGTCAGTGACAGATATGGCCAAGCGACTTTTCTGTGATTTGCCCAGTTCTGGGAGGAGAAGTCTGGCCTGGAGGGAGGGGCAGCACATTTGGGTTTGCTTCTGACTTGAACCCTTCATGATTCCCATTCCTAAGCTGCCCTTCAGGAGATGTGTTATTCTGACAGCTTTTCTTTTTTTCTTTTTGGCTCAAGTTTTTTTTTGAGATTTCCTGTTTACACCCTGTCTAATTGCTCTTTTCTTTTTCTTACTTTTTCCCAACTGGATGACACACATGGATGTCTAAAAATATTGCGTGTAACAACCAGCTTCGAATAGGGAGGATGTTTCTGTCCAAGAGAAATAGCATAAATATCCTGCATATGCTTTTTTTTCCCCAAATAAACATTCAGGCTCAGGATATAATAGGGAATTGGTTTAAGTAGCCAAGAAGTATTGTTTTTTTTCTCTCTGCCTTGTTGATTTCTTTTTCTTTTTAAAGGATGGAGGCTTTAGAAAATCCGCCTCGATGATTTTTAGATGGGGGATTTCTTATTTTTGTCACCAAAAAATGGAGGACAAAATGTTGCTTCTTCCAGCTATATGAAACCTCTATGATAATGTTAATTTGCAGTGTAGAATCACCATCTTATCCTGTACTTTATTCCCACACATGGATATTCTGGGAGTTGTGTGTTTGTCTCCTTTCCAGTCCTCTCCATTTCTGAGGTTTTTATTGCTTACTTGTGTGCAGAGCATACAAGTGACTTTGGTAAGCAATAAGAACCCAGCATCCCAGTATGGTTTTGCCAAAAATAGGGCTGTGTAATGCCTCTCTGCCAATTTCCTATTGGGAATGCGATGAGATACAGGGATACTTCATGATTTTTGTGCTGCTACTTCTTTTACTGGATAATAGCTTAAATATTAGCAAGGCTTTTAAAAATAACTGCTAAGACGACCAATTTGGGGGCACGTTGCTAAAATATAGCAAAATTTGTTCATTTGTACAAACAATGCAAAATCAATGAGAATAAGCTGAAAACAGATGTGTGTGTGTGTATATATATCTCAAGACTGCTCACACCAGCTCTTGACTGAGCCAGACAGCTGTGCTCATCTCATGATGGATTGGTCCAGCCACACAGAAAATCAATTATGTTGGTCAGATTAGCAAGGGGTCCTGAATTAAAGATGAAAGAAAATGTATCAGGGCATTGGGTCTTTGAGGAGCCCAGCGCCCTGAGAGCCAGGGAGCGCAGTTTGAGTCCCTTCCAGAGCCTGAGGAAACGGGCCTGTGAGCGGATGTGCCGAGGGGAAATAAATCACACCGGTGTCACTGGGGGAGTTAAAAACGAGTCCTTTGCTGCTTCGGCTGCAGGAGCTCAGAGTCTCTGGTCTCTGAGCTGGAGGGACTCTTCCATGGCCAAAATCCCTATGCAGCCATAGTGATGAAGTCCTCTTTATGAAGCTCTCCAGCTCCTCTTCAGGCGAGAGGAGGGGTCCAGACTGGTGATGCCTGTGCTGGAATGAATGGTGTTGCTGCACCACAGCCATGTCACACCTCTGTGTCACTGTGCTGGGACCATCCAGGGCTGGTGGAAGGGGATTGACACTCCAAAGCTTGTGAGGTGGGCTTGGAGCTGCAGCAGCCTCTGAAGGTTTTGGTTCTGCCTCCTGTACGAAAAGGGCTTGTGAAATGTGAGTACTGCCTTGTATCTCAGAGCCCTGTCTGCACAGCAGGGCAGCTCCGTGTGGGGAGAGAGCTGTCTCCTGGAGATGACCTCTCTGGTGGGCGACATTCCTGATGTAGGATGGGCTTGTGCTGCTCTGTGGTAGAAATTGGGAGTGATTTGCTTCTGACTGTGTTTGTGAGAATGGAGTAAGCCAAGTGAAGTGCTCTCTGCCCCATCAGGAATGGGGTGGGGATACTTGGAGTGAGCTCCTGCACAGCTGCAGGAACCAGGGTGCTGGTTGCTGAAGCCTTGGGTCAGCAGGAGGGAGGATAAGGGCTTGGACTGTCTGGGTTAACACCACTTTGCTTAGGGACTGGAGCCTGCAGATGCAAAGCTGGTCACCACGCTGGCAGATTCGCGTTCCTCGGTCAGGCTGTGGTGCCACACAGTGAGTACACCCATGTTGTACCTCAGCCCAGGTGAAGGCATCTTAGTAGGATTGTAGCTCTCAGGTGTGCAGGGGGGCAGAGGGATGCAAGCAGCAAGGGGAAGGAGCTTCAGAGCCCCCCTCTCTTCTTGGATCTACAGTCAGCAACAGGCATTTCTTGGCCCTGGACATTGCTGTTGTGTCCCACCCCGTGGCAAATTGTCCTGGGGGTAACATGAGCCTGTGGCCACAGAGAGCTCTGGGGATGCAGGTGGGAGCTGGTAGGTTTGTCACGGCAATGGCATTTCATGGTGCTTTGCCACTGAGCACTCTGACATCTTCTGCACTCCTTGACTGAGCTTTCCAGTACTCTGGGAAGTGGCTGTCTGATTTCTGAGATGAGATTCCTGGAGTCCTAGGTACTAAGTGTTGTCTGTATCTAAGCTGTTTCCTTATGTTTTCTCATCAATAAAATCAGGGATAATTATATCATGCCTGTCTTCAGGGGTATCATGACGTTTAATTACTTTTGAGTTGCTTTGCAATTACCTGGAATAGCTGAATAGAAGTACAAACTATACTTGGTATTTCTTTTGTTTTATTCCTCCCGGCTACCTTCCTTTCTCCTCGGCACGAGGCTTTGTGGATGTGTTTGCTATAATAGAAACCTTTTTTTACTTAACAACAGACAACTGAGGCAATTAAAACAGTCAGAAGTGATTAATGTGATTTCACTGGGTGAAAGCTAAAGCAGCTCACAATTAAATAATGGCAGCCCTCGTGCTATCTCAGAGCAACAGATGGGGAACGATTTAAAAACACTATTGGATCAGACACTTCGCAGCAGGGGCAGATTGGTAACAGTGTGTCGGAGCCAGAAATGTGCTCCACCTTGAAGGGTGCCTTGATGAAATGATTAATTGATGGCAATGTGTGACTTAGTTATGAGCGTGCGATAGGAGACCTTCAGCTCTCGGGAACAAATGGACCTGTGATCGGATCCTAATGGACTTAGGGGCTCTAGATGGTGTGTTCAGAGAGCTGACAAGTCTCAGGGAACCTGCTGGAAAGTTACAATTGGGATGGAATTGGGAAGCTTTTCTTCCAGAACCTGAAGGACGAAGCGCTGGGAGTGCAGAGCATGGGAGGGGAGGGGATGATGCCTCTGCAGGGTGCAGCACCATGAGGTGCAGCTATGTTTTTGCATGGAGATCATCACCACCATCCCGGGATGGTGCAGCCTGTGCTCTGCACTCCTGCGTGCACCACGTGTTGCTCTGCTTTTTTTTTTTTTTTTTTAAATTCCTGTTCATAGCAGTGGGAGAAAAAGAAAGGAAGGGATTTCTTCTCACTAGACTTGCTCTGCAAACTGTCCTTGTACCAGTATTGCTGTTTTGGTGAGCGATGTGGTGTTTAGTAGTGCCGTAAGTTGCCAGTGCTGGTGCTGCAGATGGTGGAGAGAGTTGTACCCACAGATGGGTCGTCTCTGACCTGCTTGCAGAGCTCCTCAGGAGGGCACTCCCTCTCGGCTTTTGGTCCAAGTGAGCTCAATTAGTTGAAACAACGAAGCTTTGTTGGTTTGGGCTCTCGGGGCTGAAGGGCTGGCTGGTGACAGAGGCGGCTGTGTCTCGCTGCACAAACGGCTGCGCGCTGAAACAGGGGCAGCACAGGGGGGAGCTGGGAGGTCCCTTCAATTATACTGCAGTTACGTATAAATTGCACTTATTTTTAAGTCTTTTTAAGCTTTGGGTGTGCAGCATGTCCGGGCAGGAGGTGATGAGAGGTGCTGGTGGCACTAGAGTGCAACCCTGCCCCTGCAGAGCCGGAGGGACGTGAAAGGAGAAGCTGTTGTGTGTTGCTGTTCGATCCCTCTGGGAACCCCTGTCTAAGCAAACCACCCCTGGCCTCTGCTCACAGCTCACAATTTGTAGTCCATGAGAAGCTCGTGCTGTCAGGAAAACGAGTTACTTTGAGGCTGGGAGAATAAATCTAAAAGCCAGGTTTCCTTCACCAGCTCTCACCCAGAGAGTGTTGCGAAGTTGGTCCTCGCTGAAGCTGCTGAAAGGCCCAGAATTAGAACAGATATTAAATAATGTAGAAGCTTTCATCGAAATGTATTAGATTTCAAAGGGCAGATATTAAAAGGGCATAATGTGCAGCTATTTCTGAATTGCTCACCTCTTAAAGAGAGAAAGAGACTTTGTTTGCAAGAGATAAATGGGACACAAAATTGGTGGTTCAGATATAGCATCAGAGGTTCAAAGCTCACTCATAATCACGCAGTTCGAGCACCTTCTTGACGTGTGCAGCACCTATATAAGATTCTTATGGAGGCAGTGACTTGTAATGCTTCATGGAAGTTATCCCAGGGAAAATGTTAATGTGCTGGTAGAGACTTCATCTCAACTAGACACGAGGTCAGGGGACCAAATCTGGGCTGACACATCTGCAGGGTTGGATAGATTTGGGTTTCATGGGTCCTTGGTCATCTACTTACTAGAGCAAAAGGCCCTGCCTGCTGCTTGTGGCTGTGGTACTGGCCGGGCTGGTTCATCCTCAGGTTTAATTCTCACAGCATTTGTGTTGTTTTTATCTGATCCTGAGTGCTGCTAAGCACCCTTAATTCTGGCTTGAAGCTGAGAGTGCTGAGGCAGCTCTCCAGACTGAGTCCTTGGAGAAGGATGCTTGGCTTGGGTACAGAGTCAATTCCCTTATCCCTGCAGATTACACACTTGCTCCACACTGTCCTTGTCCCCGAGCTGCGTGTGCTCTGGTGCAAGGCAGGAAAGCTGGGAATCCTGCCCTTCCTGACAGAGCTGTGTTGTTGTCTTTGCAGATGACAGAGGGCCGGCACTGCCAGGTGCATCTCCTCGATGACAGGAACTTGGAGCTGCTGGTTCAGGTACAGACCTCGCTCTTTTGGGTACTAAAATAAGTCACAGAAGTGCAATAAACAGGTGTGCTCAGGCACATGTGCCCTTCCTCACACTTGGATTAGCAGGAGGGTTTCCCCGTCCATGGTGGACAAATAATCTTCCATCAGTTCTGCATTCAGCTTTCACCAATATCTGTAAAGTGTATTAAACACAACCCTTGTGGTGATGGTTTTTTTGTTGTTTAGATGGGAAGAAAAGTCTGTGGTTTCGAGGATGTTGTACTCCCGTAACAGAACCCAAAGCATGAGATTCTCAAATACACAGTATTTTATTAATTGAGAAATCTCTCCTGCTGTAAGTTCAGGAAAACCTGGGCTGCTGCCTTCTTCTCCAGAAAGAGGAAAGCCTGTGCTCTTCAGCTTAATGTCATGGATTAAGTACAGAATTGCCTCTCTGTGCTCCACACAGCTCCACAGAGACACCCTGAGTATGATGGAGCCACTTCTGTATTGAATTGTCCAACAGGGTTTTAAAGTGATCATGTGTGCTTAAATGTCAGTATTTGCAGAGAAAAATTTTATTTTATATGAAAAGCCTGGACTGAAATGAATTTTATTCTTTCAATAGCCCAAACTTTTATCTAGGGAGTTACTGGATCTGGTGGCCTCACACTTCAACCTGAAAGAAAAGGAGTATTTTGGGATAACCTTTATCGATGATACGTAAGTATGTTCATTTATTTTAGACAGCTGTGTGATTATTGCAATGTGAAACCTTATCTCTGACAGCATGGCAGCTTGGTGTGATGCAAGAATGACTTTTTTTTGAAGAACAGTTTTCCTATCTTGTGCTTGTGCTTGGCTGAGGAAAGGGGAAGGCATGAAACAGAAAATATTTGGAAAATATCTTCTGGGCACAAACCAGAGAATACTTGCAAAATACTTTCCTGATGCTTTCACTTTTCGTATTTGTCTCACAAGCTGAAATAACTGATTCAGTGATAATTTCCCTTGTGAGCTTTCCTCCTCTTTGCTTTTAGTAACAACAAAAAAGTTTTGCATTGATTTTTCAGAATGAATTGCTCCTCTTGCTTTGCACTTCAATTTCAAAGGTATTAGAGTCTTTTAAACCCAAATTTCCCAAGCAGCAGCAGCAAAATATGAGGTTAGTCCTTCCCATAAACAGCTTTCCTCTGGCTGGGGCTGGGTGTGATGCTCAGCTCCAGGCTGCTGTGGGAGATCTGCTTCCATGGCACTGACCCAGAGTCAGCTGGGTTAATTGAAATCTCAGCTGGTGTTTAGGCTCATCTGTCAGCGTGGCACTGAAACGTGGCTTCCCCACTTCTGCTGGGTGCAGGACCAAAACCCACAGGCAGGAGTCTGCTCCCCAGGGCCAGCGTCTCCAGAGGGGTTACCTCCAGCTCCCCCAGAAAAGCTGGAGCAGAGCTGCTTAGGGCAGCAGGAATGTGGAGTTGCGCACTGATAAATAAATAAACCTCTTCTTCTTCTCTAATGGGAATAACATTAGTTCTTGCTGCTCTCCATTGCTGCTTTTTATGGGGTCCTGGATGAATGCCTTCCCCTAAAGTTCATGTTAGAGCCGTGTTTGGGGCCACCCTGCCGAGGCAGATCCTACGTGCAGGTGCAGGACTGAGGAGAGGGCTGAAGTTCATGGAGCTGGTGGGAGCTGCTTGCTCTGGGCCCCTGACCCCACACTGTGTTATTTTTACCAGCCGCTCTCAGCTTGAGCTATCCCTGGAATATTTTTGCCACATCCTTGTCCCTTCACTTGTTGGAAAATACTTTCTTCCAGATCTTCTCCTGAAATCTCTTGAAGATGCTGTTTGCACTTGGCTTATTTTTTCCCCTGGAAGAACTGCCATGAAACTTTTCTAGAGGTTTTTTGGTTGCTGGAACTCCCTCACAGTGAGCTTTAAAGTGCTGCCCAGGGCATTACCTGGAAGCTGTTGGCTTCCCCAGAAACACCAGTGGGATTCCAGAGCCTGCCTTGGGTGTATGGCACAGGGGCTGGGTGCTTGGAAGGGAGCTTGTGGCCTCTGGAGGGCACCCATGGCCCAGCCTTTCAGGGCAGCCACAGGTTTCTGTGCTCCCCAGAGTCCTCAGGGAGGTTGTTGGGGTTCGAATCACAGACTGATTTGAGATAGAAGGGACCATAAAGCTCATCTTGTTCCAATCCTGATGTGGGCAGGGACACCTTCCACTTGACGAGGTTGCTGCAAGACCCGTCCAACCTGGCCTTGGACACTTCTGAGGATGGGGCAGCCACAGCTTGGCAATGTCTTAGGGGGATTTTTTGTTTTCTTTCTGGCTGATTCCCATTTCAGTCAGAGAAACCACTGCAGAGAGAACTGCCTGGTTTAAGGAGTCTGTCTCTGGTAAACCCCTCTGCTCTGAAACAGGGGTTTGTCATTCTGGGGTTGGGACAGAGTAGGAAGAGTTGAGGATGCAGCTGCAGAGCTGAGCCAAACCCATGCAGCAGAAGGATCAGACCCATTTCTGCCACTAGACATAGAAAGTCAGTGGAAGTCACTGAGAGTCAAAGAGCATTCTTGAACACCAAAAGTGAATGGTATGAAAATCTGAAAGTTAGGAGGGAAAAAAAATGAAATAATTTAATGAGATGTTTGTCTTTCTTGGAACTGAATCTTGACCTTTTTAAAGTAACACTTGGAGTAAACATGACCACCAAGAAGAACCCACTTCTGTATTTCACCCATCCCAGTTTTTAACCTTCTCCCTAACCTGTTTCCACAGAGGTCAGAGTGTGTGGCTGCAGCTGGATCATCGTGTCCTGGACCATGACTTGCCCAAGAAACCAGGACCGGCAACTTTGTATTTTGCTGTTAGGTGAGTAATTGTTTCCACCAAGAAAACATTGCCACTTGGGTTTATTTATCACCAGGGGGGGTTGTTTAAAAGAACTGATTACAGATTTGATAAAGGAAATAAATGTCAAAGCAAAGTGTTATTTTTAGAAGGAGATTAGGTCCTGGATAAGTGCTACTCTCTTTTGTATTTAACTATTAAATTAAGTAGGTTGGAACCTGCTACTTTTTAAACTGTTACTAGGACAGTATTACAAGAACTTTGCTGGGGTTTTGATTTTTTTTTTGGATTTTTTTGTTGTTGTTTTTGTTTAAAACCTCGTATTTTAAATATCTTCTTTGCTTGACTTGTCTTTTAAGTGTGCTAAATAGTAATACAGTTTATTTAAACAATCATACTTACTTTTTTCCTTCTGTTTACTTAAGGTTTGTCTGTACTTGAAAGGGATTGCTGATGGCTCTTTGCTCTCACAGCTTAACCAGTCCCCAGGAGAGAATGAAATCCCTGACAAAATGATGATTTTGGCCAATGTAATTGCATTACTTTAGGGCTGTTGCTGGCAAAGCTCTGCTGGTTAAGGGCCTGAAAAAAACCACATGTCCTACGAAACAGAGCTGTGCTGGCAGAAAAGAATCATATTCTTAATATTGTTGGAGTTTTTCTTTTCCTTATAGACTATGAGGAAAATGAGAGCAGACTGACCTCATTTGCTTTGCAGATCTCGGTAAATTTATGCCTTGTGTGCTTAATTATTTGAAGCACTTCCAAGGCAGAGCCTCTTGTGTAGCTGGGTCGGTTGGCACTGCTGTCTCACCACATCCCCCATCCCCTGCTCATCCAGGGCAAACAAATGGCACTTTGTTTTGGCTGAGTACGTGCTGATTTGTGATGGCATTCAGAGCTCCTCTTCCCTTCCACACTTTTAACAGAAAGAAAGAAAAAACAAACAAGCAAAAAAAAAACCCACAAAAAAACCCCAAGCATTTTAAAAAGGGATGATGGGATCTTCACTGTGTTCACTGTTTGATGAGGATCTGGGAGGCTAAAGCCTGTGGCTGCCCAAGAAAGTTGTGAAGGCAATCCTATGACTTGAGCATTTCTTCATTTGGGATTCACGCTGTTGGCTCAGGGTGTTCATTTTGACCCTCTCTACTGCAAGGTGGTCCTTGACAGGACAGGGTGTGCAGAGACCTGGGCAAGAGTTCACGTGTGAGGAGTGGGCTTGGAGAGATCTGGAAGCCAAATTTTAAGCCTGACTACTCTGGGGTCATGAGATACAAACCAAGCAATTAGGAGCCAGGGAGGTGGGCAGTGAGTGAGATGCAGAGGAGGAGGATATAGAAATAATTAGCACTACAGAAACTGGCTGATCAGTAGAAAATTGATATTCCAGCAGAAAAACCACTTCAAAACCTGCAGCTCTCTCTCTATTACAACATTTTGGTTAAGGAAGTGACTGCAGGCCTTTGCTCCATGGCAAATGCTCTGGGTGGTTAGTTCAGACACTTATCTTGTGTGAACACATTTACCTTGTCATAGCCTATTCCTTAATTAAAATCCCATGAGAGCAGCTGAAAATACACAATTACAGCTGAGTGTGCCCGTGTCTTGAGAGGAAAAGCGAGGCTGGGCGTGGGATGAATGGCAGGGAGAGGGTGGGCAGAGGCCCCAGCACTTGGCACCTGTTCCCTGGGCTGGGTGGGCTCCAGCCCTGCACAATGTGACCCCTGTGGGTGCTGCTGCAGGGGCAGGGTGTCCCTTGGCCTGGGAGAGCCCTCCTGTGCCACCCATTCCATCTGAATGTCTGAAATAGGCTCAACCATGAATAGAATAAATACTCAATACTGTTTCAGTTTGAGACACAAATGTAATGAGGTAGAGCACTGAGCTGCTGTTCTCCTAACCAGTGGCAAATGTGCAGCAGCATCAGCTCCCAGTATCTTTTGACACTGCACTGGACAGTTTCCAGTAGCACAACTGGAAATAGGGGAATCCCCAGATTCCTGGCGATGACCCTCTTTTTCTTCATCACTTCTCATCCCTGAGCTTTTGCTGTTCCATAAGGAAATATGTGATAATCCTCTGAGACTTGTAATTATTGTCAGCTGGCATAAACTCAGTCCAGTCACGTAAGCTGTCCTGTGGTACACACAGCTGAAGGGCTCTATAATGCAGATTTAGGACTCACAGAAGCGTCATTCTGGTTTCAGGGATGCTGACAGCTTTGAAGTAAAAGAAGGAGGTAGGCTTTGTGGTGTTCCCAAACGTGCCTGTCATCCCCTGAACGTCCTTATCTCTGTGATCCAGTGTTCCCCATCTGTACTGGGGTGATAAGAACGTACAGCTTGTACCATGGAGCAAATAGAGCACAGGGACATGGCTGGGCAGGGGGCAGTGCCCCCCAGGGCCCTCTCCCTAAATCCATAGATTCTACAGGCTCCTGCTCTGTCACAGCAGTGACTGGGAGCTGCCTTTCTTCAGAGCCAGGGGTCCTGTCCTGCTTTTGGGGGTAAATCAGCCATGTCTGACTCCGTTTGAAAGAAACTGCAAGTGCAAATGAGGTCGTTAGTTGAGGGCAATCATGTTGTGGTGCAGTGGAGGGAGGGAGGCTTTAGCAGGCTGAGAAGGTCCACACTGTGAAGGGCTGGTCTGGCAGCAGGATGGGAAAGGATGAAGAGTGAGGATCCTGCCCTCTGCTCTGCATTTCTGGAGAGTAACACTCAAGGGTATTTAAAGTAAAGTTTAGCAAAGCTGTTGGAAAAAAATATATCAGGTGTGATCAAGAGAGGGTGGAAATACCTGAGGCTTCAAGAGTTCACGTGGAAAGGTGAGTCATGGAAAGGTAAAGTAGCCTTTCAAGTGTCTGAGGCAGGCTACTGGCCTCAGGTCTGCCCCTTGGACAGGCTGCATGCCTGTAAAATGGGTAAATTATCTGCAGAGGCATTCTGGAAAGTGCTTTAAAATTAATTAGATGGAACATGTTGTAGGAATGTGAAATATTAAAAACAATTATTCTTTAATGTATCACTTGTCTCAAGCCACAGCATAAACACTGCAAACATTCCTAACACGTGTGGCAGGTCCCAGCTTCACTGCTCCCTACCACGTGTTCCATGCTGCTGCTGTGGGCTTCTTCCAGTGTCTTACGAATCATCCACACCAGGAGAGGAGTGGCTGGAGCCTGAGGCTGTGAGCTAAGGAGCTGAAGGACATGTATCCTGCTTTCATATCCAGCTAAAGGAGGATTGACAAGACCACCTCCACACAAATTTGTCTCCCTTTAAACTGACTTGGCAGTTCCATGCTCCTCAGATTATCTGTGTGTTTTCTCTGCACCATTTAAGGCACCTCAGCACTGCTGGGTTTGATGCCCCGGGTGAGTCAGAGAAGCGCAGGGGCAGGTTGTGAATGATTTTGCCAGCAGCAAAGGTGATCTTTGGTGTAGTTCTGTAACAAACTGGGGACCCATTTGGCAACCTTGGCTAGGCCAGAGTAACCAGCAGTGGGATCACTTTGATTTGTGCCTCTATGATGGATCCACGGCCCCGGAAAGAGGAGGGCTGGGAGGAGGGCAGTGAGCACCAAGGCAGTGAGTGCTGTGCAGAGCAGTGTCTTTAAGGCTGAGCCAGTTCCAGCCCTTCCATGTAAGCCCCTGGTTTTGGGGCTCTTATTGCCAGTAGGATGGATCAAGCTGACCCAAAAGCCTGGTGGCTTCCCCACCTGCACCACCTCGTTTGGAGTTACCCTTTCCACTGCTGTGGCTTTATCTGCATAGGAGGGATGGGCTTTTTGCTCCTTTAGTGTTCGACGGAGTTCTCATCTCATTTGGAAAGTCATCAGATATCCAGGATCTATTGAACCAGGAGCTGCTGTTCCCTCTGTGCTGTCAGCCTGTGATTTTCTGCTTGTTCTCTCCTAACAGGCCGGAAATTAAGTGCAGTAGCTCATAGTTCCTCTGTGCTATTTTATTGCTGGAGAACAAAACATGAGGAAATAAAATGACTTGGGAGGAAGATGAAACCTCTTCTTAGAGGAAACTAACTGAAGGTTGGTTTTTTTTGTTTTGTTTTGTTTTTAATTTTCAGGTTCTACATTGAAAGCATTTCCTTTCTCAAGGACAAAACTACAGTAGAGCTGTTCTTTCTGAATGCCAAGTCATGTGTACACCAGGTAAGGCTCAGTGTCCTTCAGAGCTCCTTGTTGTGCGTCTCCCTTTCATTGCTCCTCCAGCACCTACACTTGGTGGGAGCTATGTTTGATTTCTAGATCTGATGGAGATCAGTGTAGCCAGCCAAAGTTTTCACCTTTCATGTGCTTCATATTTTAGAGGATTCTTATTCAGTATCCAGTATTTATTATTTTATGGTGGGGTCAGAAACCTGATGGGAAAGTGGTTAATGGCAAAGTTGTGACTGTGCTTTGTACAGGAATTGCTTTCTGGAAGAGTGGAGTATATTGGTGCATTTTTACAACATGCTGAAGTTTTAAAGGTGCTCCAAGAACTTGTGGCCTCACTGGTTAAGGTTATTAAAAAGCAAATTTGCACTTGACGTATGTGCCAGTTAGAATGAAGGGTCTTGGCAACTCGTAGTCATCCTTTCAGACAAAACTGAGGAAGTTTAACTAGACAGACAGCACAAATGATTCTGGAATTGGAAAACGGCTCTGGTTTTGGGATAGAATGTGAAAAATTCCATTGCTGTTGAGTATCAATACTGAATTTAATATTGAAAAAATCAAGTATTTGTGTTTATGTGTGTGCATAAACATAAGAGAGATCAAAGGAAAAGAGAAGCATTAAGAAAATTTCCCTCACTGCCCATAGACAAGTATGTCATCAAACCAATGAGGAATCAGTTTTAGTAAATATGATTATTCAGGCAGCATAACTTCAAATCACTGCACTGAAATGCTGATAGCACCTGAAGCACTGATGGTGAGTAAGGCAGTGAGCAGACTGGGCATCATCCAGTGGAGTTCAGGGCTTTGGGAACTGGGAGAGGTTTGAAGGAAAGCTGGCTCATATTTCCCCCCATGGCTTGCAAGCTGCTCTTAATTGTAGCAACCCAAAGTGTGGCTTCCCTGTTCCTGCAAGCAAAACTGCTGGAGACAGAGGGGTTTCTGCTGTGTCCAGTTTCTGTGGGCAGCGTAGGGCTGAGCAGCATCACTTCCTCTGGAGAGGAGGAGCTCTGTGGGCAGTGCCAGGTGACTCAGCTCTGCCTGTAGCCCTCTCTGTGCTGGGTGGCTGTGCTTAAGCCTGTGGCTCCTTCAGCAGAATCCTGTTCATCTGCTTCCAAGATACTTTTGGTCCAGTGGCTTTTAACCTTCAAATTAGGTCTTGTAAAAATATTCTATCCTACTTGTCAAAATTCCGGTCAGCCTCTAGGTTTCAAGTAGTGCATCAAGTGCACATGGGAGAAATCCTCAAATTCTGAAGCCATGGGATGTGGACAGGAGGATACACAAAGGCCCCTCAGATGTGCTTGCAGGGAAGGAGCCACAGGATGAGCAGTGTGTGAATATGAGCAGATCCCCAGCTCTGTGGAGCAAGTGGCTGATGCTCACTGATGACAGCAAGGAATGCTCCCTGGCATTTCTCAGTCATTAATCCAGCTCCAAGAGGTTAGACTTACCTCAGCTTGGCTTTTTTTTCTCTTTTTTTTTTCCCCCCCCTCTCCTTTCCTTGCTGCATTCATGGAGTGAGGAAACCCCAGAGTGTCAAAAAGCAGGAACCCACACCCAGCCCCTGTGTGCTCAGGAATGCTCCCCAGTGCACAGGCAGTGCTGGAGGATGCCCTGCCAGGGCAATATCCTAACCTGGATCTCTGCACAGAGCCTCTGCTCTGTGTGGGCCAGGAATGTGGTTGGGGACAAATGCTGCAATACCTGGGGTGTGCTAAGACCTGCGTGGATAAGATTGCTTAAAAGTCAGTCATGTTTTTAGCTTTCACAAAGGTGTTTCCAAAGTTTTCACAACAGCTTTTCCCCACAGGGGAAGCCTAAATCCAGGGTGTTTGCAAATGCCTGATGCTTGAGTGCTCTTTTGACATTCCTGAGCGCTGGCACGTGTTGACAGCCAGCAGTGTGTGGGTACCTGTGGCTTCCACGGCCTCTGTGCTTTAAAGGACAGGGATGTTTTTCTGAGCAGAGGGGGGCAGGGTGATGGCTGCCCTGCATGTGACATGGGCATCGTGTCAGTGCTCCTGCTGGCACACAGGACACACCAGGAGAGCCAGATGAAGGCTTGGGGGAGCACAGCCAGCACGTTGGTGAAGCTCCACACCAGTCCCTCCTGTGGAGGGGATTTATCCATACCATACAAGGTTCAGAGGCTGCATCAGAAATGTATTTACAGTGTTCTTTGAGAGACTTGGTGTGAAATCCTGTAAGGTGGCTGTATCTAATGAAAGAGAATGGCATCTCCCTGATGGAAGTCCAGCATCTATGGGATTGGGCTGGAGCTGCTGGGCAGTGTGTGCTGGGCATCTTGCCCCAGATGACTCCAGAGAGGTTTTGCTCCCAGATGAATAAAAATTTAGAATAAATACCATATTAACTATATTATCAATTATATAATATATTACGAAATATGATTCTGGAATAATATATAATTGAATAAAAATCTGCACGACAATTCTGACAAGGGTGAAAGCCACAGTGCACAGCCACACTCCTCTTCCTCACCTTTCAACCCCACATTCCTTCTTGCAAATCTCTCTGCTCCTTTCTGCAAATCAGGTACTGCTTTACTTTGCCAGGACTTGAAGGAATCTGGGATTTGTGCATTTTGCAATCTCTGTAGACATTTTGGCAAGGAAGGGACTGGATAGACAATAAAATCTCAGCTGCCAAAAATGTATTTCTTTCTACTCCCCACCCACTCCCCCACCTCCGTGCTCTTCCATGCAGTCAAAGCTCCTTTTGTGCCTCTGGGACCTTTGCTGGCACGTGCCAGGTTTGTGCATCCTCTGTGACCTGTGCTGTTCTCCGTGTGGTCTCCTCTGCATGTGAGCAGCTGGGGAGCCGGGGGGAGACCCCTTTGCTGGAGGCACAAGAGGGCTGAGACCTCATTTTTACTTTTGTGAAGTCTCCTCATGTGTGAGCTGAAGGCAGCACTTGCTGCTGCACTTGCAGAGCAGCCGGTGCCTCCTCACCACTGGTGCGTGCACAGACCTGGCCTGCCGCCGACAGCAAATGCTGCCAGAGCTCTCGCCCTCCCTTCTTTTCATGTTGAGCTGCCCATTTTTTTTTCTCCCCTGGTCTGGTGCTGCAGTCCCCAGGCTCTCTGTCCTGTGTGGTCCAGCCAGCTGCCTGCTCCTGCTCTCCAGCATCCGCACTCTTTGAGCTGGAGCTTGGAGAAGTCACATCCATTGCCAGGAAAAGCCTGGGCCACCGAGCGGGAGGTGGGAGCTGGTGAAAATTCGATCTCCAGGTTTATGGAAGGGCCTCCCAGTGACTTAATTAAAAAACCTCATTTGTCAGGTGTATTTTTGGGAGAAGGGAAAGGCTAGAAGTATGCTTTGTGTACATCTGGGCTCTGTTTTCTTACACACCTCTCTTTTCCAAGGCTTTGAAAACCACTGCCCAAAAAACCTTCAGTGGTGACAACTTCAACTGAAAAGCTTTCTCCTCTGTCATTGACTTTTAAGAAGCTGGGTTAAGATTTATAGCTATCTGAAATCTCCTGTACAGCTGGAATTTAAAGGAGTGAAAGCCTGGCGCTTGGTTCCAGGTGAAATGGGTACCTCAGAATGGATGTGTTTGCACAGGGAGCTTTGTAACGTGTTCAGTGTGTTATTGCACAGCCCGTGACCATAGCTGGGATACTTTAAAGGAGGTGGGTCAGAACTGGTCACGCACATGCTGATGATAAATTTGGAAAGATAAATTAGTCTTTTCTCCTTTTGAAGCAGCCAAGTTTGGAAAAATAACACCCTACTTGGCCAGCGAAGCACTGTCAAGTTTATTATGCATTAAAGCTAACCTCCATATAGCTCTGCAGCCATACAGTTGACTTTTTGCCAGTCCTTAAAATATGTTCTGTAAACGAAGATCTTGGTCAAGTTGGCTATGTTCCCCTTTTCCCCTCTATATCTGGGTGTTGGGGGGTTTATTTAATTTCCCATTTGTTTCAAGGACTTGTAAGAATTGCTTTGAAAAAAAAAGAGGAACGTTAAAGGAAATGGAAGTTTGGAAGTTTTCAGAGGAGTCTGTAAATGTGATAGCTCCATGAACAGCAGTGCTTGTGAGCACTTGGCAGCCTGAAGACCAGTGCTTACCAAGAAGAGCTGTTGAAACAGACCCCTGGTGTGAGCATAAAGCCTGGCTGGCTTCCAGCTCGTGGGGAGCAAAGTGGTCATATATCAGAGAGCTCTCGAAAGTTTTATAACAGATATTTCCTAATTCTCCCCCATCTCAAGGGAGAGGGGAACGTTCCCATTCAGTCCTGTAACATGGTGTAGTCTGATGCTAGCCAAGGCTATTAAATATGTGCTGTCCATTGCCTGAATTTGCTGTTCAGCACATGGAAAGCCCAGGATGAGGTTCAGCAGGACCAGTTGGCTTCTGCTCCTTCAGGGTTGTCATCTCCCATGGATGCTGGAATGGCAGCCACCTCCTTGGCCCAACCTCCCCAGCAGCTTGTCAGCAGATGAGAAAGATGGAGCATGGCTGTGCCTGTGTACAGAACATGACAGGAGGAGGAGGCAGGACCCCATGCTGATGTGAACTGGCAGATCTGCATGGGACTCCCCACTCGCTACCCCAAGGGACCTCACATGGGGCTGTGCTGGTGGCTTGGGGAGGGACTTGGCTGTGGTGTGGGTATAGTCAAGGGACTCCTCTGAGAGGGGTTGAGGTTGGTCCAAGGCTGCCTGCTGTGAAGGGTGATTGTGTCCCAGGGACCTGTGAGGCTCTGGTTCAGGGAGGTGTGTGTTGTGTCCCAGCTGGCCCATTGCATATGAAGATTCAGTTGGTTTGCAGCCAAGGTTTCATACCTCACGTCTCCTATGTAGTCACCTCCTCCTGGGTCTAACTACTGGGTTTAATTGCCATGGAAAGTTCTGCACCTTTGATCTCCTGGCCACAGACTAAAGATGCTGTGACAGCTCAGCCAGTTCTGTTGTTGGTGTGTGTTGGATATCTCACCGTGATACTGGGGTAGGAAAGCG